TTAATTTTTAATTTTTAAAAAATTTAACTAAAATCAAATTAAAATTTATTTAATTAATATTAAAATCAAAATAATAAAAATAAAAAACAATTAAAATCGAATCAAATTTATTTTTCAATTCAATTTCTAAGTAACCTGCCGGTTCGGTTTCTAAATGCTCAGCCGGTGCAGCTGTAGGTGCGAAATCGAAATCAAATTCCAAATTTCTTTAGTTTATACCACTGATGCAAACCCTGATACGCCTGTCTCAGTACGTACTGCAAGTTCTTGAGTAACTTTTAAGTGGGGTAGCTGACATGTTACCCCACTTATCCTTAAATTGGGGTGTGGAATAAAAAAAAAGGATAAATGGGTGTGCGGACTCGAAATCGAACTTCATATTCCTTAAATTCATACAAATGTTACAGTACTTGCTAAGGTCATACTCGAGAACGTCAATGGGGTGTCCTCTTGATGGCCGGCTTCTATGGGTTGTCTGAATTGTCCAACTTATCCTTTAGATCGGATTATAGATCACATTTCAAATTTAGTGAATGGCAACGAGCGATACAAATTGCACGGCTTTGCAAACTTAGTCAAATTTATCTATGTCTAAATCTATCAACTCCCCTTCCCAGGTCCCAACTAGGGCAGCAACAGGTGAGTTTTCTTCATTTTAGAATAGTAACCTAAAATGCTATGAGAAATAATGGTACAGTTATAGGTGTGGAATCGAAATCAAATTCCAAATTTCTTTAGTTCATATTACTGATGCAAATCTTATTACACTCATCTCGATACGTACTGCAAGTTGTCGAGAATTTTAAGTGGGGTATCTGATATATCGTACATTTTTAAAATTTTTCCTTCCACCAAGCAATCACTCAAAAAACAACCTTTATGTTCCGCACAAGGGCACAGTGGTTGGTTACTTTCTCTTTAATGTCTCGCACGGGGTAAAGTGATTAGTTACTTTTTTTTTTAATGAAATTATCATTTTAAATTTGATATTTAGTTTTTAAAATTTTTTTTATAAGTTTGAAGAAAATAAATTAAGAAAACATTAATTATATTTTTTAATTAATTTATGAGTTTTTTATTTTTTATTATTAAAAT